TAGGGCTGGCTCGGGTTTATAGTTAGGGCTGGCTCGGGTTTATAGTTCGGGCTGGTTCAGGTTTATAGTTACAAATCCTTTTATGTGTCAATGTGATGTAATGATGATGTCATTGACGTAGGTGTGTTTGAGTCTTACGTTGTTTCCTGGTTTCAGTGAACATCTCTGCAGCAAAGCAGACGAGTCCAGATCGGACTCTTCCGTCAGGCCTCCTCTCTCATCTGAAGACAGCAATGCAGGAAGTAAAGTTACTGTATGACCTCATCACTGTGACCTCACTGTGTTTTTTGATGGAGTCATTACCTGTAGCTCTCCTTTGATTGGCTGCATCCCTCTCTGTACCAGGAGGCAAAGTTCTGCTCTTCTTCTTCTTCTTCTCCTTCCTGTTTTCTGAAAAGACAGACCTCCACAAAGTTGTTGCCCCGCCCCCTTCCACCTCCACCTTTCTAGGGTGTGGAGCCGCCCGTTCACCATCTGGCCCCGCCTCTCTGCCATGTAGGAGGAGGGGCTTCTTCAGCTCAGTGCTATTGTCATCAAATGAGACCCCCCCTCCAGCAGGATGCCTCTGAACAGCTGTCTCCGTGATGACGACATGTGTGCGCCATGTGGGCGGAGCTTTGTCTCCCTCCTCGTCATCGTGGGCGGAGTCAGACATGGTGATGAAAGAGGTGGTGGACGGCGTGTTGGCGGTGGGCAAAGTGTCGGATGGAGGTGTGAAGGAGGTGATGCGAGACGGCGGGGGGGAGGCAGGTGTGTCACAGTGTGTGACGTCACTTCCTGCTACTGAGACGAGAGGAGAAAACTCCTCTGAGAGGGAGACAGGGAGGAAAAGACATCAGTACACACTATAAAGTACACAGTATATATATATGTAGATATATATATGTATATATATGTACGTATATACATATACGTATATATATATATATATATACATATATACATATGTATATACATACGTATATATATATACATATATACATATATACGTATATATATACATATATACATATATACATATATACATATATATGCATATACGTATATATATACATATACATATATGTATACATATACATATATACATATATATATACATACATATACATATATACACATATATAGTATATATAGTGAAGTTGATCTAGATTTGATGTTTTTATGTAGTCTGGTTAGTTCTCTACCTGTCTCCTCTAACAGGAGCCACAGGCCTGAACGTCGCTCCATCTCCAAAGGACTGTACTCCCCCTCTACCAGCAGGACAACAATAACATCACAATATACAACAAACATCACAACAACAACATCACAACACA